ACAAAAACAGTCACATACTTCAAAAATTAAAATCCACCCATCCCTAGTTCAAAGAAATCTAGCCACACATGTTTATGTTCTCAACAGCCATGAAAAATAAATCCCAGCAGAAATTCATAGTAAAAAATCAGAAAGAAAAAAACCCAAACAATGGAGAATTGCAGTTTGCCAAATGCTGTGCTGTTGTCCAGAAGCAAGGCTGGCGGAGAAGAAGCAAGATTGGGTGGTGTTGAACAGAGGCTGGGCGGTGTTGAACAGATTTCAGGGTCCTCTTGTGCAGATTGGATTCGGGTCCCTCCGATTAGGCTGGGCGGCGGCTTTTCCTCCAATGTTCAGAGCAATCTCATGCGGCTGTCTCCTCTTCAATTCTGCTGAGTAGCATATATATATATATATATTTAGAAATTAGAAATCCTTATTTCTTTTAACCCTAGCAGACATGGGTTATGGGCTCTATTTTGGGTCTGGACTGCAGTTGGCCCACACCTAGAGAACACAGCCCAAGTCTCTTTATTTCTGCACTCTGTCCATTGTCAAAACCGTCCACTTCAACTTGAATTCTGTATTGATATAGAAGGAACTGGGTTGAGCTCCTAAACATCAATTGTAGCTCTGCTTCTTAGCTTTCCAATGCCTAAAGAATAACTCAATCTGATACCTAGAGAAAAAGATATGGTTAAATTACTGCAGTATGTGCAAATTGTCACTTATTACAAAATTAATTCCTATATTAATTTCCACCTACAAATAATGAATTTAATATAAAAAAAGGTGAAACTAAGTTACAAAGGACCCATAAAATTTAATTCCAGGCTCAAAAAGGGTAGATAAATGCATATAAAAATTAAACTCATCACCCTTAACGTCAAACTATATGCCTACACTTTTGAATTGTTTTTGGTGCAATCTTCTATTAATTTTGACAATTTTCAAAAGGCTTAGAACCTAATTTGTTAGTTTTATAAAGTTGAAGATGACTTTGCTAGTGAGCTAAAAGTTTTTTTTTTTTTTGAAATGCAAAAATAATTTTATTTTGTTTTGAGAGTACAAGGGGTACTCCGAACCCATTACAAATGTTTAAATTTAACCAATAGAAGAGCTCCAAAATTACATTTACCTACCAAAAAATTATGGGAACCCTTGTCTATCTCTATCAAATTCTACCTAATAGTTGCACATTTCTTACTTTTCCTTTTGCTACCATAGTTGATCTTCAAGCAGCTTGTAGGATTATGGATCCAATTTGATAGGGAAAAGAAATAGCTGCCCTTTTTACATTTTATCCAATTGAATGCCCTAAGTTGTACCAATTCCAGCATCCTTCCCTTATCCACCTCTTTTCCTCTAAATAATTTCTCATTTCTAGCCAACCAAATTGTCCATATCACAATGAACCAAATACATTCTCATCCCTCCTTCTCCCCTGCTATTTTTAGCATGTTGGAGTGTTGTTCAAACATCCTCCAACAATCTCTATCAAGTACAATCCTAATTCCCCACCATTTTGTAATAAGCTGTCCAAAGTTCATAGGCTAATTTATAGTGAATGAAAAGATTGCTAGAGTCCTCATTCCCCATGCCATGTAATTCACACTTGCACTCCTCAATATCCTATATAATACCCCTTTTTAACAAATTAACCTTTGTTGGGATTTTGTCTTGCAACACTTGCCACAAAAATGTTGAAATTTTCCTAGGTATAAGCACATTCCATGCTTTTTGTAAAATAGATTCTTGTTGTCCGCTTCGGTGCTCCATTGTAAGTGCCTGATATGTTGATATTGCTGTGTACCTTCCATCTTTGCTATAAATCTATTCTCGCACATCTAGTTTTCCTCTTACTATTGTTGTCTCTTATATCTCCTTCTGGAGCTTTAATTCTTGTTGTTCTTCCCAGCTATACAAGCTCCTTCTCCACTGTAGGTTCCACTTCCAAGAGTCATTTTGCGATCCTCCCATTTGAGAGATCTTATTGTCCTTTCCTATAGATAACAAGTCTAGGGTACTTGTTAGCTAAATTCCCCCCCCCCCCACACCACTTGTCCCACCAAAAATTAATGTTTACCCCTTCCCCTATTTTTAGTTTCATCCTTTCATCTAACCATCCCATTTTTTTGTCATCAATTTCACTCAACCTACAAATATCCCTCCACCAAATTGAACCATAGTTAACGCACTCCTTCAACCAATTGTAGCTTAGTTCCTTTCCCCTTCCATACTTCTCAAAAATGACTCTCTTCCAAAGCCCTTTTCCCATCATCACTATTCTCCCCCACCACTTACCTAATAAAGCCATGTTAAACTTCCTTAGATCTTTCACCCCCAAACCACCTTTCTTTTTTTCTTCGTAAATCTGTTCCCATTTTACCCAATTGATTCTCTTCCCCCTTTCAATCTCACCCCACAAAAATCTTTTACGAATTTTATCAAGTAAAAGAATCATACCTTTTGGGATCAAATACAATGACATTCAGAACACAAGGAGACTAGACAACACTCAGTTAATAAGAGTGATCCGACCACCAAAAGATAAGTATCATCCCTTCCATGTGGATAGCTTTTCATAGGAAACATCCGTCAATGGTTTCTAGAATGCCATCTTTCTACAATTCCCCCAATGGGAATTCCCAATTATTTAAAAGGCAGAGCACCCTTTTTGCAACACAGCACCCATGACATCTTATCAAGCCAATCATCCTACATGTGAATGCCAATCAATTGGCTTTTATTAAAATTAATCTTTAGTCCCGAGACTAGTTCAAATGCTCTCAAAATGCCTTTCATTGCCCACACATTTTCCTCTTTAGCTATACCAAACAAAATTATGTTGTCTGCATATTGTAGATGTGAGACTTCAAAGCCTCTATTTCCCACCCCTGCTCTTTCCAATAACCCTTTCTGTGTTGCAGTCAAAACCAGTCCATTTAAACCTTTTACAATAATTAGAAATAAAGAGGGTGATAAAGGGTCCCCTACCTGAGGCCTTGTGTGATTATGAATTGTCTTGTTGGACTGCCATTGACTAGGACTAATACAAGACTTGTTCTCAAGCATCCCATCATCTAATTCCTCCAAATGCCACAAAATCCCATCCGCTGCATCATAAAATCAAAAAATTTTTAGCTAACCTTATCATAGGCCTTCTCAAAATCAATCTTGAACATGAATGTTTTCTTCTTCTTTTTTCTTGATTAATCACCTCATTTGCTACCAGTACTCCATCCATTAATCATCTTTCGCTTATGAACGCCATTTTTTGTTCATCGATAATCCCATCAAGAACCTTTTTTAACCTGTTAGCTAGTATCTTTGCAGGATTTTGTACATAACACCAATAAGGGAGATGGGTCCATATTCCTTAATCTTTTATGGGTTATTCACTTTTGGCATAAGGACAATGAAAGAAATGTTTAGTCTTCTCACCAGCTTTTTGTTTTTCTGAAATTCTTGCAAGAATCCAAACACATCTTCTTTTATTATCTCTCACTAACTTTTGTCAAACTTGAAGTTGAACCCATTTGACTTGGTGCTTTCAAGCTATCACACTTCCACACTGCTGTCTTGATCTCATCTTCACTGAAAGGCGCAGTGAAAGAGTCGTTGTCTTCTCAAGAGACTTGTTTAAAACACACCCCATCTAGTTTTGGCCTTTCCCATCGTTCCTCATTAAACATGTCCTCAAAAAAGGAAGAGATCTCATCTTTCATTCTATTGGCTTCCCCAATCTAAACTCCTTTTATTTGTATACAGTTCATTTCATTCCTTATCCATCTACCTTTTAGACTGTTATGAAAGAACTTTGGGTTGGTGTCCCCATGAACTAGCCATGCTTTCCTTGATTTCTATTGCAGCATGCTTTCCTTGCTTCTCATATTATCCCAAACAACTATAAAAGCCTCTCTTCTTCTCATGATTTCTTCCTCGAATAACTGTTCCTTTTCTCCCTTCATATCTATTTGAGTAATCTTTGTTATAGCCTTGTTTATTCATTGTCTAATTCAGGGACTAAGGTTTTGCTCTAGTTCTTTAAAGCTTCCTTGGCAGCTTCAATTTTTCTTTGGGGCGAAATCATGCCCACCCTTGAATATTTGCTTTACTGCATAATTTCTTTATTAGCTCCTTGCATCCTTCTTGCTGAAGTCATGGGTCAAAGAATTTGAATGGCTTAGGTCCCCAATCCACTTGTTGGTGTCTAAGCAAGATTGGGCAATGACTTGACATTGTTCTTCTTAAACTCCATTGTCTAGCTTCACTCCATTTAGACAACCACCCTTTAGATAGTGAAAATCTATCAATTCTACTCATATAATCTCCACTAGGTTGATACCATGTGAACTTTTTGCCCACTGATAGAATATCAATCAATTTCGTTTCTCAAATGAAACTATCAAACTCTCTCATCTCATTATTTATGCCTTTACTCCTCATTTTCTCCCCTACCTTCCGTCTGGCATTGAAATCTCCCACAATACACCAGTTGCCACTTCTTCTTGATACCAAATTTTTTAACTCCTCTGACAGAGCTCATTTTCCTGATAACTAGCATGGGGAGTACACATTTATTATACAAATAGTAACCCCCTCAAGACCCCATACCCTTTCCATTCCTATAAAATTCTCACCCTCTATAACTTTAGTCATTATAAGAGTTTTAAAATTCCATAAGCATAACATACCTCTAAACATTCCCATGCTTCCTTAGCTACCCATTCAAAGTCGTCAGATGCCCATACAAATTTGCAAATTCTTTTATCCATCCCTCCTATCTTTGTTTCTTGTATTGCTAGCAAGTCCACTCTTTCCTTAATCATTAATTCTCTTAATTATCTTTTCTTCCTAGCACCACCCAACCCTTTAATTTTATAAGATAAATATTCATGGTACAATATCACTAACCTTCTATTCTTTTCTCAACTCTTTTGAGCTCTCCACTTCCTTTGCTTTTCTATCTTGCATCTCCATTTCTTCAATATTCTTGATAATTGCCCCCTTGTCCTTAGCAACCACCCCAATTTTTTTAGCAAAATCCCACAATTCTTCTATGATTCTTCGACTAGGATGTTCCTTCAGCATTTTATTATAATTCTCTATTCCACTATCACCCACTAAACCTCCTACCACCGAGTTACTCGTACTTGGCACAAACCTCGGGATCCCTTCTTTCTCTGCTTGTTTTGATCTTGCTTTGCCTCGGTCCCTCTTTCTCGAGTCCATTAATGGTAGGAGAATCGCTTTTTAGTACACAGATCTGCATGATTTTACCCTCTTCTTTCTCCTTTTCTTTCCTGCTTTGTCTCTTGAACCCATCCACTCTTTCACACTTCTATCTCCCCTTCCTAAATTTGCCCATAACAAACTATTATTTCCCAAAAGTGCCCCTTTTTCCTCTTGTCCTTCTTTTCTTTGCAAATCCTCTTTATCTGTTTCATGCCCAATCCTCAATTCGTTTTCCATCTTCTTATTATTGCATGTAGGTTCACCAGCCTAAATTTCCTTTTCCATTACCCTTTCTCCTTTATGGTTTTAGCCTAGACCCTTTGGAATGGGCTCAGCCTAGAAGCCCAACCCATTTCCTTTCGAGCTTTCTATTGGATATGTGCTCACCTAGTTTTGTGGCCCAATTTCATGCATCCCAACCTCTTCTCTAGCCCCCACATCACTTGCCTCTAGAAACACATCAATACTATCTGCTACTACTTCTACTGATTCTTTCTCTCTCAGCTGATTATAAGAAAGCTTGTCAACCATTTTGTAACCTCTCACATCACATCTATCTCCTTCAAATTCAAATTCTGCCTTATACAGTGGGATGGCGGTCAACTGTTTATCCATCTTACTGAGTTCAAATTTGTCTCCATCTTTTCCTACTTCACCATTGATTTGTTCCAAGTCATCGTGTCAACCATCTCCTTCAAGTTACTCCTCATATTCATTGCCATTTGACTAGGATTCTTCATAATCTAACTCACTATTGAAGCTCAACATGAAATCATATCTCATTGAGAACAAGATGTTTGTCATCTCCTCTTTTGTAAACTTTAAGTTGTACATGACACTATTAACTTTGATTTGTCATTTAACTGAGATTGAATCCATAATCGGCATGGATATCAAGAATCTGGCTATGTCAAACCTTCTGTTCTTGCTTGTGCTATTGTCGAAACAAAATAAACTTGCCCCATGCAAATGCCATCAACTCAAAGAAATATGGCCCCCAAGCATGTAGTGGAGCACCTTCGCATCTCATCGAGACAAACCTTTCCTTTGCCACTATTATAGGTGTCCAAGGCTTAACCTTTGCGAACCACTGGCCCAGCCAATTTGATGCCTCCTGTACTAACTCTTTTAATTGTTCATTGTCCTCATAGTCCATTAGCACCAACTTTCCCCCTATAGCTCAGAGGCAACACAAGAAATAACCCTCCATGTAAAACTTTTCTTATAGATTTGGAACAATTTCCATAGAATGGGTAGTACCAATATAACATCCCCACAACCACTCATGATCTTCTTCTTTGACGTTGTACTCAATTCCTGACCAATCTATTTCTCTGTTCTTTATTCTCCACGTTTGTTTTCGTTGTATTTGTCTATGTGTCTCACTGCTTCTGTTTTTTCTATGGTCATATTTGGGTCTTTTCTCCATCAGATGGTCTTCTGATTTCCTTAGGTCCCTTCCCTCTTGTCCTATAACTACGTCAGCATAAGTTTTCCCTTAGACAACTATGTTTGTGGTTAAAGTTCTCCTTATCTCCTTAACCTTAGCTTCCTCCTTTGGGTATTTGGCTAAGTTTGCCCAAATTTTGCAGCAATCATTCCTAATCTAGGTTAGTTGTTTTTCCAGTTCCTTCTCGTTCTTTACATTCAGGAACCTAACAAAGCCAAACCTGCTACCATTTTTGCTTCTTCTCAATGGGCTGTATATTGCAAACACCTTGCCATATTTCCCAAAAGTCTTCCACATTTTTGTGTAGCTCCAATCATCCAGGATATTGGTGAAGAAAAAGACTATAGCTTGTTTATATAACCCCTTATTATATCCCCATTCCATAATTACCTTCTTGTGTCTGCGTATTACCCCTTACTCAGTACCCTCCATCCTCCTTTGTCGGTTTCTTTCTTTGGGTCGTTCATACTTTTTGCCTAGTGCTGTCCATCTAGCCTATGGCCGTTGTCCATTACCTAATTCCCTGTTTCTATCTCTACCTACCTCACTCATGATTTTTGGATCCAATGAGCTAAAAGTTGAGGACTAAAATAATAGTTAATTGTTTTAATTAGACATTGATTTAAATACTCTTTAGTAAAAAAATATTATATAAATTATTTATTAAAAAATTATTATTTTATTATAAAATTAAAAATAAATAAACTTAAAATACAATCATATAATCATATATATAATATATAAAAATTAATTAAATAAATTATATTTGTATTATATCTTAATAACTAAACACGAGTAGTTGTGTGTGAAACATGAATGGTTGTTTGTGAAACACAAGTAGTTATGTGTGAAATACGAGTAGTTATGTGTGAAACCGTACCAATCATTTTTCAATTTAATAACACGAGGAGTTGTTATGGAATCGTACCAATCGTTTTCCTATTAATAACATCAACTCTACTCCATTAACTAAATTATATATAATTCCCCATTCCATGCTTACCTTTTGGTGCCTGCTTATTCCCCTCTGCTCTGTACCCTCCATCCTCCTTTGTCGGTTTCTTTCTCTAGGTCGCTCATACTCTTTGCCTAGTGTTGTCCGTCTAGCCCATGGTTGTTGTCCATTGCCTTAGTCCTTGTTTCTCTCTCTACCTGCCTCACTCATGATTTTTGGATCCAATGAGCTAAAAGTTGAGGACTAAAATAATAGTTATTGTTTTAATTAGACATTGATTTATATATTCTTTAGTAAAAAAATATTATATAAATTATTTATTAAAAAATTA